GCATTAGTTAATAGTAATTCCTAAGTATACTGTAGACATATACAACATATTTTCCAGAATGTTCACTGTTTAAATATGAATAATTCTGGCAACAATAAATATGCTGTTTCGTGATAAATTATTACAGAAATCAGGTTTTTCAGTGTTATTAAGTGATATCAGATATCCAAATATGTGGGTAATCCTACCTACTGTGACTATGCAACTGGGTTTTGGTCCAAATAACGTACTTTCTTTTTTTTACTTTACTTTTCTTTCTTTTCTTTACACAATTTATTTGCTATTTTTAATTTTTCCTTTATCTCAGATGGCAAAAATTACTCTACAAGTGTTTAAGTAGTAGTGAGTGCAGTAGTTTTAGGGTTGCCAGGTGCCCCGTGGCCATCAACAGGGGGTGGGGGTAGGGTTGCCATCTCCAGGTTGGGAAACTCCTGGAGATTTGGGGATGGAGCCTGGGGAGGACAAGGACCTCAGTGAGTTACAATGCCACATAGTCTACCCTCCAAAAGCATCCATTTTCTCCAAGAGAAACTGATCTCTGTTGTCTGGAGATGACCTGTAATTCCAGGGAATCCCCAGGTCCCACCTGGAGGGTGGCATCCCTAAGTAGTTTACATCTTTCTCATGTATCTGGTACATTTGCAGTTTTGTTTGCAAAATACTAAGACATTTATACCTGTAATTTCCATAAATATGGCTGAGCACAACTTCACATGATATCCAAGTTATATGGTATGTTTTATGTTTTTAGAGTAGCAAAATGAGTTGAGGTTTGATAAGACAGTAACTATTGCATATGTTGTGATTTTCACCAACATCTCTGGATTTTTCCCCAGGCTCCGAGTACCCCATATTGACCCAACAAACGCAAGAGTCTGACATAACATAAGGCTACTTACACAAAGGGCCATGGCTCAGTGATTAGAGTACCTGCTTTACAAGCAGAAGGTCACAGATTCAATCCCCAGCACCTCCAGTTAAAAGAATCCAATTATGTGAAAGAACCTCTACCGGAGACCCTGGAGAGGTGCTGCCAGTCACAGACTGACCTTGAGAGAGCAATGTGCTGATTAAATACAAGGCAAAAAATCACCTAAAAGAGAAAAGCTGCCCGATCATGTGGGCACCATCTGTCAAGGGAGGCAACTTTACCACTATGTAACCTAGGGTTGCCAAATGGGCCCAGGGGGCGGGGAATCCCCAGCTTCAGAGCCCCGATTTCCGCCAGAGGTGACGCAGCCACGTTGCTGACGTTGGGGGCGTGGCAGAGCTCGTCGGGGGGGAACCATATGGTTTCCCCCCCAATGAGCTCGGTCACGCCCCCAACGTCAGCAACGTCTCACGTCACTTCCGGTGACGTCCTGCCGGCGCGCGCGCACACCCGAAAGAACCTCCCGGACACCGACGAGGCTCCCCCGCTCCGAGGGGTAAGTGGATTTGGCAACCCTAATGTAACCTCCTCACCTGGTAACATGAATTGGCCCTGCCTGCTTTACTTACAGTCATACAGCCTAACCTACCTCAGATAGGGATGCCAGCCTCCAGGTGGGACTGGGGGATCCCCCCAGAATTACAGCTCATCTCCAGACTACATAGACCAGTTCCCCTGGAGAAAATGTATATCTTGGAGGGCGGACTCTATGGTACTGTATCCCACTGAAATCCCTGTCCTCCCCAGGTTCCATCCCCAAATCTCCAGGAGTTTCCCCACCTGGATATGGCTATCCTATGTCCCCCAACCCCCGCCAATGGCCGGAGCGACCTGGCAGCCCTATCTCTAGCTATCAGTGAAAACGTTAGTCCAAACAAACCCACTGAAATCAGTGGGTTTATAGTGGATTAACTCTGCATAGAATTGCACTGTGAGAACGTTTCATTTATTGCCCTCAAAGCCGTCAAAATCACAGCCCTTGGATGGATGTGAGGGTTGTCCTGTCAAGTCACTGGAAAAGTGCCTTTCTTTTTCCTCTGCCCCCTGACAGTCCTGAAGTCCCTGACTAAAGGGAGTGAACATACAACATATAGCCTGGTGTGTTACAAAAGAGCTGGTCTGACAGTTGCAAACCGATGTTCTTTGTGAAAGAACAGAGCAGCAGCCACAATGAGCAGCTGCAGGACAACCTTCATTTGGCCATCCCCAGGCCTGGGCCTCAGCCATGACTAAAGGCGGATCTCTCCCCACCACCAGCCTCAGGAGCTCAGGTTTGCTTTGCAACTAAGAGTACCCACCCCTTCAAAGAGGAAACTGAAAACCACAATTTGCAACTAAAAATCTTAACAATGACCTTTCTAAATCAGATTTAAAAAAAAAAAGTATTGGTTTTTGTTTCTTAAAAGAGCACTTTCAACTCTAGATTTACAGTACAGTACAGGAACTCGCGTGGGTGATGCAAAGTAGGCTGCATGAAGAGACTAGTTTTCCTTTTTGTCAGCAAACACGCTGCAGACTTGCAACCAAAAGCCAAGGGTAGAATACAGCTCTCTTCATGTGCGGTTTGTATTAGAGTCACCAACTTCCAGATGCAGCCAGGAGATCTCCCAGTATTACAACTGATCTCCAGACTATGGAAATCAATTCGCCTAAAGATAATGGCTGCTTTAGAGGGTAGACTGTACAGCATTATATCCCACTGAGGTCCACCCCACTACTCAAATCCTGCCCTTCCTAGGCTTCACCTGCAAAATCTAGGAATTTCCCAATCCAGAGTTGGCCATAGGACTGCTGGGCCTTCTGCCTGCAGCTTGCTTTTTCTGTTGCCAGGAAAATCCCAGAAGTTAAATATGGTAGCTGTAGGAATGGTTGGAAACTCTATGGTTTTACAATAATGTTTCCAGTGATTCCTAGAGCTACCCAATGCCACTTCACGATTTCCCCCAGAAGTGATGCCATGACATAGCAGATGTTGCATGCCCCAATTTCCCCAGCCCCACCTATCTTGCTGGTTGGCCCGGCAACCCCCAAATTGGCAATTCTAGTTTGGACACTGTTCTTCAAAACAACTGCTTAACTGTTAACAGGAGACACAGCCCCTAGCTAGAGTGCAAAGTTATATTGGTTTTACAACACTTCAGTTGCCCCAGCTGCTTGCAAAGTATCCCTGGAACCAGGGCTATTTTTGGGCAGGAACGCACAGGAACGGAGTTCCGGCTGGCTCCCAAGCTGGCCACGCCCAGCAGGAACTCATTAGCATAATAGGCCACACTCAACAGCAGAAACTGCAGATTGGCTACAATTAGGGGTGTGTGGCCTAGTATGCAAAAAGCCCTGGGTTTTGACAACAAACAAGGTAAAGAGAATAAGAAGCGATAGGTGGTTGTGGCTGGATGACCACACTTCTGGTAACATGGGGTGTGGCCTAATATGCAAATGAGCTGCGCTGTCAGTGTGTGACCTAATATGCTAATGAATTCCTGCTGTTGGGTATGGCCTATTATGCTAATGAGTTCCTGCTGGGCTTTTTCTACAAAAAAAGCCCTGCCTGGAACTGTAGTATGGTGAGCTGCTGTAAAAGCCCTCACCGACTAAATTCTTGCAGCCCCTCTCCAACAACAATTGCCACATTACACCAGTAAGAGACAGTGACTGTTCAGCTCATTTCAGGTCTGTAGTGTAAGACATGAGTAGTGCCTCTGTTAGCAGGGTTGGTACCACTGAGAAGCTAGAAATTATTGTGGGATAATTTTTAAAAAAGAAATAATCTGGAATCAAGATTAAATTACTATTTTCTTTGAATTATTCCTGCAAATATTTAGTTGGATTCACTCATGTTTACAGCCTCTAAATCCTATGTTTTTTTAGTAATTGCAAATTAATTCCAAAATATTCCAAACTAGGTAAAAAAAGAGCACACAAAATGCAACGTCTGTAGAGTTAAAAATGGAAACACATACACTGTTCAATTTAATGCATGTACTTTGTATACATTTTTCTTTTTAAAAAGCTAGAGCTGACATTCACATTCATAGGCTGTTTGTTTAGTGGACGCAAATCAACATGTGTACTAGTAGCTTCTCATTGTTCAACTATCAAAAGGGAACCTTCAGCCATACAGGCATTTTTAAAACATGGGAATTCAGGAGAATGGAGATGAAAAACACCATACAATCAACGGCAGAGCTGTTAGGGAAAAACAACACCAGGTTTTTTGGGGGGGGGGGGGGGGAGCTGACAATTTAACCTCCCAGTTTAAAACTTTTTTCATAAGGAAAGGGTATGGGCTTAAGTAAATGTAGAGGCTCCAAAGTGGCATCTTGAACTGCAGCAATTCTTGATCATGTACTGCTGCATTTTAACAAAAATTATGTTTTAAAATATTAAGTACAGCAGTTCTGCCCAAATGGCTCCTGCTTGCTTCAGACGTAATTATCTTTCTATTAGATTTTTATTCCACTCTTCCTCTGAGGAGCTCAGAGCTGTATATGTTAGGGTTCCCAGGTCCCAGTGGTGGTTTCCCTGCTTTTAGGGGCCTGGATCCACCACCAGCCGCTGGCCAGTGGGGCAAACCCCACCCCCAAACAGGGACATTGCCATGCGATGTCCCCGATGCAATGACTTCACCCAGAAGTGATGTCATCACATCACCAACATCAGGGGGTGACACTCTAGTTTCTGGGCAAACTCTATGGTTTTGAAGGCTTTACTCCAGAAGCACAGCCTTTTATCCATGCCACACGTTATCACCACAAGGAGAAAAAAAAATCTGGATTGAAAAAAATAAAAGCCAATATCCTGAGCATGCCAAATTCCAAACTAGGTACTATTCTGTTTACACAGTGAACCTATAAAAACCTGAAATAAATGCACATGCTGGATTACGGCAGTAGAATGGCAGGGTACAACCCCTTTACTGTTAAACAGCATTTATAGGCTAAATTAACAGTCTTTCAGGAAAACAATTCCACCACTTAAAACACACCTGCAAATATATATCCCGAAGCGCATCCCTTAGTTCTCATCAAATTCCTTTCTTTTCATTTCCAACTTCACTGCTGGGCCTTACCTGTCAAGGAGAAGTTCCAGTACCTCTTTTGTAGAGGCAAATCCCCTGTAGGTCGACAGAAAAATGCTGATGTAGGTAAAGTCATTGTCCCCAAAAGCTGTCAGCAAGTTCTCCACAAGCTTCTCTAGGGTACCAGCTTTTATTGTCCGGATCTTACATGTCTCGTACTGGCTGACAGTATGCCCTGGGGGCAGTTGGTCCCCTTCAACCTGTGCAAATAGCAAGAAAAACAGGATGGAAATTAATTTCCCCAAACAGTGAGAGAGAGAGAGATTGCACTGCAACTGAAGACAATTTTAAGGCATGTGGCACACCTTTACTGATGAATGAAAGCAGGTGTTCCTCCCTAAGATACCTAAATGGAAGATCACCCAAGAACCCTATCAAAGCCACTCCAGGCTCATCAGAGGAAAGGTAACAAAGGTAACAAATACATGGAAGATCTGCTGATATGACACTTCAGTGTAATACGATATTTATACCCTGAATGTTCTGAACAAAAGGCAGAACATTATCAAAAACAGCAGTCCCATGTCTAGTTCCCCCTCCTCTCCCCCAAAACACATAATAATTAAAGATGTCATGGTATAGGTTGGATATAGAGTACCGCCAATAGAGTTAAGCTGGCTCAGTTGGACTTTTCCACCTACCTTCCCTTGCTGCCGCCCACTGAGCACCCCCCCCCCCCCGGTGTTCTGCTTCTGGAAGTCAACAGACCCTTAGGAACAGGATGGGAGCAACTCAGTTAAAACTGCTCTCTCCTCCCCCACCAACAGAAGTTCCTTTGCGGAAGGGAGGAGCTAGTATGAGATTGTGACTGAGCGTCAGGTGTGCACGCAGGAAGTTCCAGGTTCAATCCCCAGAATCTCTAGTTAAAGGGATCAGGTAGCAGGTGATGTGAGAGATGTCAGCCTGAGACCTGGGAAAGCCACTGTCCGTCTGACTCTGTCTAAGGCAGCATCGTGTGGCTCTTACTCCATAAATTATTCCACCTCACAGCAAACCATGGTGTGGAGCAGGGATAGGGAAATACACGATGATGTGATTATGTCAGAGCACACAAATCATCAGTGCACATTACAGGGGAGAGGAGGGGAAGCTAAACCTAGAACTCCCATTCTTGGCAGTGGCCCCATGATCTCGGAATCTAATTCTGCTCAAAGTCTAGTATAAACATTTGTCTTCAGCAAGCAAGCGGGACTGTCAGGAACCTTCCGCAACAAGCCAGAAAATGAAAGATGAAGCCAAAATCAACACAGGCAACATAAGCTTGATACAAAATGTGTCTAAAACAGGATGATATTGAAAGTGCCCAGCTGTAAGGCTAAGGAGATATGAACTGTTCAGTTTCTGGATGGGATACCACCTGCAAGCCTGAGACATCAAGGTAACAAATAATTAGTCATGTTAATGTTCAGTCCAGATGCCCCAGCTGCAGTGCACCTTTATTAACTGGATTTCTCCCAGCTCACACCAAATACAGATTTTTCGTTAACTTCTTGTTTTTATAAGTTTCAGCCTGCATAGATGCTGATGCAAAAGTTACAGCACTCGTTGGAACGAGCGTCCTGGACTTCAGTGGGTTTGAAGGAGACCCTTGTAGCGTTGATATTTTTATCATGGGGGATATATAAAATGAATCCATTTCAGCAGATACAGGCACTTGTGAAGAAACTGGTGCCACTGACCTGCCAAGGCCTAGGGCTGTAAGAAGCCCATTGCTTAGTCACCCAAGGCTACTAAGAATCTCCTCTAGGTGACCCGACCAGTCATAAAAGCCTCCCTAATATTTGTTCTCCCCCTCCCCCCTTTTATTTTCTTTTAGGCTAAATATGACTAAGAGACCTAGTGTAAGACCTAGTAGACAGAACACGGAATTTTTTCTCCGGAGCCAAGCATCCCACAAAAAAATTCCCAAGGGAACAGAACTGTGGGACCTACGAATGTGTAGGTTTGCACGAGAGACAGAGAGAGAGAACATGGTTGTATGCATTTGTGTGACTGTGTCAAAGACAGCAAGTGTCAAAACGTGTGCCAATTTACAGGGAAACTGATCTTGTATAATCACGAATGGGCCAAACCACATGGGCAGCCATTCACACAAACGGCCAGCCTTGTAAGCTAGCTCTCCATGCGATTTAGCTTTCCAGCAGTGTAGTTATTACCACAGAGGTAATGAATGAACCAGCCCCCTGGGTGTGAGAGTGGGAAGCTGAAAACAAAAGGGGGGGGGAGAGAAAGAGGATGCCAGAGAGAATAAGGATTCAGAAGTCATGGGCAGTGTGGGGAGGGGGGCAACGATCCATCTGTGATTATTACTTTTTTTTTTCCAGTCTGCACTTCTGACTATATCGAGTTACATTTAATTACCAGATATATACCATTTGGAATAGGATGCACACATGTCCATCTCTTTTATCAGTGAGGGGTTACACAAAGGAAAAGCATTATCAGGCTACATTTTTCAGCGATGAAGTCTATATGACACCAGTGATCTCCCAAGAGGAGCTCCGTTGCTTACATCACTTGCATTTAGACTGGGAAACAGCCGAAGTGAATATGCTATAGAAAGTAATTCAAGGATGGGCTCAATGACCTCATTATACTTCTCCAATTTCTGTTACACTATCAAGATGGAACGACAGATATTCAGGCCTTTTTTTTCCCTTTCTTCTGCTGCTGCGAAGTATCGACACTGTACAGATCTTTCTCTGTCAAGACAGCAAAGCTTTGATGCATCACATCATCCACTGTCCCGGAGGTTCTTCCCACCCTGGCATTATCTGCTTCTGTTTCACTAACTGCGCCACGCCCACAGCAATTATAGCACAACATTGCCGCTACTCGCTGCTCCTCCTTCCTTGGCTATCTTCTCTTGCTACTAAGATTTTGCACCCTTGCTACAAAGATTTGTATTACCAAGATTTTGCATACATGCCTTTTGTAGTGTATTCAGAAGCTGCCATGAATACCTAAGATGTATTGTGAAACACCTCATTGGGAAGCTATGTTAAGCTTCGTCTTGGACAGGGATTGAAGCCCAAGACTAATGTGACCAATCAGGTTCGAATTGTATGTAAGCGGGAACAACGCTGATTGGTCCTTATGCGCTCAACCTGATAGGTTGACATCTGTACAGTAGGTGTGGCTACATTAGCCGGGAATTGTTTAAATACCGGACAGCTACAATGGACAAGCTGTTCGGGCTATCAGATGTTGTACCGTGTTGGAGAAGTGTTCGTGATCGGGAATAAACTTGAGTTTTTGCTGAAATCACTCTCCAACTATTTGTTAAGCGCTGGACTTAACACCTTTTTTGTCATACTGTTCCAATTCACAGCCCCGAACCTGCCCCTCATTCTATAATGTCATAGCACACAGGTTTCAGGTTGCATGCCCCGAACCCTTCAGTGCACAGGGAGAAGGAGCTTAAAACATGAAACTATGCAAACATGTGCATATGGGAGGGCCTGTGTCCTGTAGATACCCAAGGGCATATGGGTGTGCGTATGCAGCTGGAGCAGAAGTCAGGCTTTTCTTATTTTATACAAAAGATTTTATAAGAAAGATTTTTTTTCAGTTAGATTTTTCTCCTCAGAAGAATGATGGTACATGACTTCTTGCAGCACAGACTATATTGCTCTTGACAGATTATTCTTATTTTTAAAAAAACTGTCATCATAAAGTACAATGAGTCTGACACAAAAGAAGAATATGAACTTCTAATTTTTTTTGCTTAGAGATGCTAAAGTTTTTTTGTTTTTGTTTCTCAACTTCAGTTCTATAAATGAACAACAGTGAAACAACACTGTTAATGAATGAACATTATTGAAGAACTAGAAAAGTAATGAGTTTATAAATGCATGGTTATTGTGTTTGTTTGCTTTAACTTGCAAGGGTTTATTTCTATGTTTCATTTCTGAATGTATGCAGCAGTGAAATCCTTCAGGTGGGTAAAAAAAAATGGGGGGAGGGGCCTCCTATTCACTTTTTAAAATTTTCTTACTTATTTGCCAGCTACCAGTATCATTTCCCTAACCTTTAAACCAAGTATTTCCTGATTTCATTTCCTCTATGCAATTGCTGGCCCTGATCTCGATAGCTCAGGCTACCCTGATCTTGTCTAGAGTTGCCAACTCCGGGCTGGGAAATACCTGGAGATTGGGGGGGGGGGAGGTGCCTGAAGAGAGCAGGGTTTGGGAAAGGGAGGGATTTCAACGGGGTACAATGACACAGAGTCCACCTTCCAAAGCAGCCATTTTCTCCAGGTGAACTAATCTCTTTCACCTGGAGATCAATTGTAATTTCACTCAGATCTTCAGTCACCACTTGGAGGTTAGCAACCCTAAGTCACATCTCAAAAGCTAAGCAGGGCCTGCCCTTGTGAGCATTTGGATGGGAGACCACCAAGGAAGTCTAGGGTCCCTACACAGAGGCAGGCACTGGCAAACCACCTCTGAACTTCTCTTGCCTTGAAAATCTCATGGGGTCGTCACAAGTCAGCTGTGATTTGACAGTTAAAAAAAAAGAAACTGCAGATCTTACAAAATAGTGGGTGGGGAAAGACTGTGCTGAAGACAGTTTTAAATATCAGCACAACCAGGAAGTGGCAGGCCATGATCAACCTAACTGTTCTCCCTGGCAGGTGTATCCAGGGCTTTTTTTGTAGAAAAAGCCCAGAAGGAACTCATTAGCATAATAGACCACACCCAATAGCAGAAACTCATTAGCATATTGGGCCACATCCCTGACAGCACCACTCATTAGCATATTAGGCCACACCCACATGTTACCACAAGTGTGGTCATCCAGCCACACCAACCTTTTGCTTCTTATTCTGTTTACCTTGTTTGTTGTCAAAACCCAGAGCTTTTTTTGTAGCAGGAACTTCTTTGCATGTTAGGCCAAACATCCCTAATGTAGCCAATCCTAATGAGTTTCTGCTGTTGGGTGTGGCCTATTATGCTAATGAATTCCTGCTGGGCGTGGCCAACTCAGGAGCCAGCCGGAACTCCGTTCCTGTGTGTTCCTGCCCAAAAATAGCCCTGGGTGTATCAATACTGTTTTTGCCATTCCACAGTAGACCAGGCTAATTCCTGCAGTTCCATTCAAAGGTGAAATTGATTGGAGGAGGGATCTAAGATCTGCTATGGAACCAGAAGTCCAGGTTGTCAAGCTTCCTTCCCCTTAGAGGTTTTCCAGAAAAAAT